TGTTGTTGTGGTTGTGGTTGCGGTTGTGGCTTTTGTTGTTGTGGTTGTGGTGGTGGTGGTTGTTGTTGTTGTGGTTGTTGTGGTTGTTATTATAGTTGTTATTTTGTTGTTGTTGTTATTGTTGTTGTTGTTATTGTTGTTGTTGTTGTTGTTGTTGTTGCTATTATTGTTGTTGTTGTGGTTGTGGTTGTTGTTGTTGTTGTTGTTGTTGTTGTTGTCGTGCTGGTTGTTTTGGTGTTTGTTTTGTTATTACTATTCTTACTATTATTGTTGTTGTTGCTGCTGCTGTTGTTTTCGATGTTCGAACTCCTGGGGCCCTGGCCGGCCCTCGAGGCGGTCGAACAAAAAGCAAACTCGGGATGGAAGGCCAGTCCTGTCCAAACCTCTGGGGGTCCACGCCATGAACACATCACGACGTCAGGGGTCAGGGGAGGAGGGCGGGGAGGCACTCGGTGATGGCACATAACATCGCAGAGGTATGCTTCTGGTGCTGGGCGTACGCCCGGCACAGGCTGCTCGCCTGCGCAGCCACACTGGCCGTGACGTAAGCCTGGAGTGCCTCGAGGACGCGACACCAACCCAATTTAGCTCCAACTTGGGTGTGTGGTCAATGCACCGCGCGACATATGCTGCCCCACAGCATCACAAGGTCCTTCTCTCTTCCTGGTTATCTCAGATCACCACCCCTTTCTTCGCTCGACCCCCGTCTCTACTTCAGCACATCCAAGGCCTTCACGATGTGCATCTCCTGTCTGTCCCTCGCACCTTCGTTTTTGTTGTTGTTGTCTTTGTTGTTGTGGTTGTGGTTGTGGTTGTGGTTGTGGTTGTGGTTGTGGTTGTGGTTGTGGTTGTGGTTGTTGTTGTTGTTGTTGTTGTTGTTGTTGTTGTTTTCCCCGCCCTCACCTCGCTCCCACTCCCTGCTCCTGCCCGCACCGCCTTCCTGCCGCCTGGAGCCCCTGCCCCCGCGCCATCTCTTCGTTGATCATCTGGATGAACCCCGCTTTGCGCCTGCGCCATCGGAGTGAGCGCATCATCGGTACGCTTCGCTCGGGCACGTCCTCCTGCAGGCGGCTTTTGGAAGGAAAACGAAACATAGTCAAATTATCCCAGTGCGACCCTACCTAGGAGTTGGACCCCCTAGGAAAGCAGCATTAGTAGTAACAGTAACGCTAAGCTAAAGCTAAGCTAAAGCTAAGCTAAAGCTAAGCCACAGCTAAGCTAAAGCTAAGCTAAAGCTAAGCTAAAGCTAAGCTAAAGCTAAGCAACAGCTAAGCTAAAGCTAAGCTACAGCTAAGCTAAAGCTAAGCTAACGCTAAACTAAAGCTAAGCTAAAGCTAAGCTAAAGCTAAGCTAAAGCTAAGCTACAGCTAAGCTCAAGCTAAGCTCAAGCTAAGCTAAAGCTAAGTTAAAGCTAAGCTAAACGCTAAGCGAAAAGCTAAGCTAAAGCTAAGCTACAGCTAAGCTAGAGCTAAGCTAGAGCTAAGCTAAAGCTAAAGCTAAAGCTCCCAGGGGACTGGGGGGAACCGCTCCCAGGGGACTGGGGGAACCGCCCGGGGCGCTTTGCATTGCCCGGCCCCTTTAAGCTAAGAGAGTAAGAACCCTTCTAGGCAGAGCCTAGGTAGGGAAACATTTCAAACATGGTCAAACCTAGTCGAAACATCGTCCCCATATTTTTTTTGACTATTTTTGGCTACCCGCAAGGGTGACCCCGGGTAAGAGTGACCTTTGGTGCGCGGCTTTTTGGGGACCGCGGGGGGGCCAAAGACAAGCGCGCAAGCCGCTGCTACCGCTTCTCTTTCGGCCATCTGGGGGCCCACCTGTGCCCACACCAAAGGTCCCTCCGGCGAAAGGTCACTCTTACGCCTAGTCGATCTTTTTGAATATGCCTCCTGTAGAGGGACACGCCTGCCTTCGGGCCATCTCTCGGGCCTCCGGCGGCCGCCCGGGGGTCGATTTTCGGGCACCCTGGGCAAGCCCTCGACGAGGCGCAGCTGCTCGGAAGCACCCGGGGGCCCAACCGCCTCCATCACAGGAGCATCCCAGAACACAGGATACACCCTTCCAACGCTTCGGAGAGGGGGGGCAGGAGAGCCCAGAGCCGAATCGAGAAGCCGGATCGGCGATCGAGATGTACCCGATCGGCGGAAATCGGCAGGCCAGTATGCCTTCAATAAGAAATTCGAACCCGAATCGGAATCCCAAATCGATTCGAATCGGAGTCGGAAGCAGTCGAAGTCGAATCGAATCGCATCGGCGGAGTCGAGACGAGCCCTGGGGGTGGCCGGGGCGGAGGGGGTGGCCCAGGGCCATGTGAACACTCCCGGCGCAGCAGCCCGGACCTCGTGGGCAGGGCACGTCCGAGCCTCGGCCGCGGCAGGGCGCGCGCCGGAGCCCCGGCCGTGGTCGGCGCGGGGGCGTCGAGGCCGCCCCGGGGTGGCCTTCGGGGGGGGGGGGCCCCGCGGAGGGGGGCTGGGCCCCGACTTGGCCAAGTCCCCGGGGTCTCTGCGCGGAGGGCGTTCTGTTACTCGTGCCCAGGGCCGAACGCTAGACTTGTTCGTCGCGTTCGAAGCTCGCCGTCGAACGCTGCCACCCTGAGTGTTGGCCTTCGGAGGGGGGGCCCCGACCCAAGAAGCCCGCACGCACCTCCGACAACTCGTGCTTGTGCAGTCGGACCTAGGCTCAGGTCGGGCATGCCCTCCTGCAGGCGGATTTCGGAAGAACAACCGTATAGCCCAAACATGCATCAGACAGAGTCCAGCAATCACGAACAATCTTCCCCAGGCTATTTTTCCACCATTCTCGAATATTCTTCCTGTAGAGGGACGTGCCCGACTTAAACCTAAACAAAAAGAACACCCCTCCAGAACGTGAGACCCTCCGTTGGCCAGAACAAGCAGAACGTCCAAGGGTGTATACCCTCCCCAGGAGGCACGAGAGCATCCAAACAACACACACGAGGAGCACTCCGAACCGACCTTGATCTGATACCTCGGTCCGACTTAATGTCTTCGCTTTGGTTCTCGAGCCGAGGTGCCAGGGTAGCCCTTAGCGGAACGAACAATGGCATAAGCATACAAACTCGGAGGTCCGCGCGGATTTCTCGGATCGGCGCTGGACCCCCCTCCCTGGCGCGCGGAGCGCGCCAGAGGCGGCGCCAGAGGCGCCAACAGGGGGGCCCCAGCGCGGATCCGAGAAATCCGCGCGGACCTCCGAGTTTTCGAGTCTGTATGTTCATGTCATTGCTCGTTCCCCCAGCCCCGGGCATTCCCAGCGCCCCAGCGCGCAGAGCGCCCCAGCGGCGCCGCCGAGGGCGGCGCGGGGGCGTCGAGGCCGCGCCGGGCGCGCCCCCGGGGGGGGGGCCCGCGGAGGGCAGCCCGGGCACTGCCGCCGAGTGGTGGGCTGCCCGTGCGCAGGCCCCCAAGCCCCGGCAGGCTTTTTTCTCGCCGTTGCTCGGACGTCTGTGGAGGAGGAGGAGGAGGAGGAGGAAGAAGAGGAGGAGGAGGAGGGAAGGAGGAGGAGGAGGCGGAGGAGGAGGAGGAGGAGGAGGAGGAGGAGGAGGAGGAGGAGGAGGAGGAGGAGGTGGAGGAGGTGGAGGGGGAGGAGGAGGAGGAGGAGGAGGAGGAGGAGGAGGAGGAGGAGAAGGGGGAGGAGGAGGAGGAGGACGAGGAGGAGGAGGAGGAGGAGGAATTCCACGTGACTTCACTTTCGCGCGCTGATCTTCCTCGCGCGGTGATCCAGGATGCGCCTCGATGGTCCTCGCTGAGAAACAAGTGCACACGTCCGAGCGGTGCCAGGTTTTTGGAGTTCGCCCCAGCTCAAGCGAACAATGGGCTGCAGCGGCTGCCGGGCCCCCCCTATTGGGCGCGAGCAGTGTCGACTCAAGCGAGCAATGGGCGCGGCGGCAATCGCCGTGGGCGCTTCCGTCGTCACTCGCCGCGCGGCCGCGGTGAAGAAGGAGGGCGTGAAGAGGTACGACACGCAGAAGCATCACGCAGCTGCAGCGGCCGCGCAGAACGTAGGGGGTAGGCGAATAGTGCAGGACGAAGCTGAGGAGCCAGCAATGCCGCAGAGGCGGCCGCAGGGCCTCCACCTCCATCCTCCTCCCTCCCCTCCGCCTCCTTCCGCTCCCCTCCCTGGTGGGGGGAGGGGAGGGAGGGGAGGAGATGGAGGGGAGAGGACCTTCTCGTCGTTTTCCTCCTCCTCCTCCTCCCTCCTCCCCCTCCTCCTCCTCCTCCTCCTCCTCCTCCTCCTCCTCCTCCTCCTCCTCCTCCTCCTCGTCCGTAGCCATTTTGGCTCAAGCCGTTCCCCGTGGGTAACCCCCGCGTTGGGCAGGTGTGATTGGGAACGGCAGCGCCTGCTCGGGCCATTCAGATATCATGGCGAGCCTCCGTGCCGTGGCGCGCGACGGCGGCGGCGGAGGCGGCGGCGGAGCCGCCCCACCAGCAGGCGGCCTACGCGGCGGAGGTCGCCTCGGCGGCGGTGGGGGCGGCGGTGCGAGCTGCGCTGGGCGCGAGGCCAGTGCGCAGCCCACCGCGCCGCAAGGAGGCGGAGCAGGCGGCAATCCCTCCCAAGGCCAGGCCGACCCGCAGGCTCTCGGCCATCGCGGACGACGCGAAGGTGGAGTCGCAGGCCAGGCCGCCGCCTCTGCGCCCGCCCCAGGCGCCGCGGCCATCGCAGGCACCGCGCCTCGCGATCTTGGACGCGCCGCCAGGCGTGTGGGATTCCATGCCCTGCCCGCAGGAGGAGGTGAAGGAGACGACGGTGATGCGTAGCTCTGCGGCTGCTGGACGGCCGCCCGTGGAGTGGCTTGGCGCCAGGCCCATGGCAGCCTCGGGCGACAGCCACCCGCAGGAGCAGGAAAAGGGCATGAAGGAGAAGAAGGTGAAGAAGGAGAAGAAGAGCAAGAAGGACAAGGAGCCGAGAGGCAGTTGCAGGAAGAGGCGTCGCAGGAGCAGGTCGCCGGCGCGCGAGGTGGCGTGATCGACTTGCTGGGCGGCGAGGCCAAGGTGGTCCCCAACGCCCCGAGAGGGGACTCGCTGGAGGTCGGCCTCACAGGCTCCGTGGAGTTCTTCGAGCTTTCGGACGAGGTGGACGAGGAGAACGCGAAGTCGGAAGACGCCCTGGACGAGTGGTACTCGAAGGACGTCGACCTGGTGCAGGACGAAGGGGACGCCGAGCTCGGCGCGCGGCTGGAGGAGCAGCTGGGCCTGCACTCGGACGAGGAGAAGCTGGCGAAGAGCGTGGGCGACCCTTCGATGTTGGGCGTGCCGGCCTTATCGTCCAACGTGCTCCGGAAACGCTTCCCCGGAGCACGTTGGCGGCTGGATCGAGAAGGCCGCGAAGCTGCCCGCGGTGCCGCGCTTTCCGTTGCTGGTGGAGGACAAGTGGCAGCGCCTCTGCTCGGAGAACGCGGCGGTTTACGCCAAGATGGAGCGCGTCCAGGCGGGACGACGGCTCGCCAACGACATCATGGTGGGGATCATCCGCGAGAAGGGCACGAAGGAAGAGTTCTTGGAGGAGGTGGAGTTCCCAAGCGTCAGCCTGGCGGCGGTGGCCAGCAGCTCGGATGCCAAGCCGTGCGCAGCACGGATCGACCGTCTGGGCGAGATCTGGCAAGTGCTGGATGAGGTTCGCAACGACACCATGGCGGGGAGGATCGACGGCAGCGACGGTTTCCTGGCTTGGCTCGAGGACTGCCTCGCCGACGTGGAGGATGCCGCCATGGGCGGCGACGAGGAGAAAGCAGCCACGGGCTGAAGGTCGCGGGGGGGAGTAGGCTCCAGATGTGGGTCTGGGCCGTTTTGGGTTCCCTCGCGCGGCCCCCTTGGGGCTGCTTCGGGGCCTTGGGGGCCGCGGTTTTGGGGCGCGTGGCGCCTGCTCCTGGAGGGGTCGTCTGGGGCCTACTCCGTCCCGCTGGGAGCTGGGCCGCTCTTAGCGGTCTCTCTTGTTGCATGTCTCTCGAATGCGGTCGCACCTTTCAGCGGGCGTGGGTCTCCTCCTCCTCGTGCTCCTCCTCCTCGTGCTCCTCCTCCTCCTCCTCCTCCAGCCCTTATCCTTGTTAAACAACTCCTCCCTGTCGCCCCCCAGACGTGTCGGTAGGGCGGACCTGGCGCTTCGCCTGAGACTTCCTCACATAGAATTTGGAGCAGTTTCATGCGGGCAACTTTCGACATGTGGCTGTCGCCTCAACGCCGCGCACATTCGATTCAAAACGTTGTAGCAATTTCACGGATCGATGGCGGGCCGATTTCAAAATGTGGCTCTCGCCTTAGCGCCGCACGCATTCGTCTTACAAGTTCGCAGCAGTTTCATGGATGAAGGGCGATTCCTTTTCAACATGTGGCTCTCGCCTCAGCGCCGCGCACATTCGTCTTAAACGTTTGCAGCAGTGTCACGGATGAAACCGCTCCAAGAAATCTGCGCGCCAGTTGCGGCGCCCGAGGGTCCAGCGCCGATCCAAGAGATCCGCAGGGACCTCCAGAAGCTCACGTTCATGCACGCTTTCTTCTTGCAGCTTCCGACCGTCTCCGAGCAACCCCGCCCGCCCTGCCAGTGACGGTGAAGCGCTACTTTTCCTCAACGTTGGCTGCATCGTGTGGGGGCGTGGAGGCCTACTCCAGATTTCGTAATAAAAGGGAGGGGGTCTGGACCCTCCAAGACAAGCCTTTCAGACCTCCCCCGTGGGAGAACCCTCCCAAACATCGTCCCCAGACCCCCCAGGCCCTCCAAGATAGCCTGGAAGAGACCCCCCCCCCGAAATGAGACCCCCATCCCTTTATTACGAAATCTGGAGTACCTGGCTGTTCCAGGGGAGGGGAACGAGAGGCAGCGGCAGGAGCGGCGCGGCCGCGGTGGAGAGGCCTGCGGTCCAGGCGGCCGCCGACGATCGTGGCCTCAGCGTTCGAGTTGAGCGCCTGCGCCCAGATCTCTTCAAGGCCCAGTCGCGCTCGTCGCCGTCGGCATCCTTCCCCCACCTTCCCTGGTTGCGAAAAAATATAAAGCGGCTCGGATTTGTTTTGGCAATTTTCGGCCTCTGGAGGCCCTCACCGAGCCCCTGGACCGGCAGACAATGGCCCAGGATGGAAAACTGGTCCCAGGAAAGGGGTCGGGACTTCTGGGGACCGCATATGGAACAAAGCAAGACATCGCATGTCTTGGCAGAGACCACCGCCACCGCGAACCTATCGGGGGGTGGTGGCCGACCCCTGGGAGTTGGCACGCCCGAGCGTCACCCAGTGCACGATGCTCAGGCGTGCCACCGCCCGGGGGCGGGTCCCCCCGATGGGTGCTCGGTGGCGGGGGTCCTTCTCCTTTGACTTCCTCCCTAGGTAAAGCTTCGGGCTGCGCATAGGCAGCCCCCCAGGTGGTCCCGGCTGGCCCCAGCTGGCCCCTCCGGCGTTCTTAGCACCCCAACCCAGGAGCCCGGAGAGCCCCTGGGGCGCCGCCGGAGGTGGCGCCAGGGTGCTGAGACCGCCCCGGCCCGCTGGCGGTGCCTGTTGGGGCGCTGGTGCTACCCGGGGGGCAGGGCTGCCCAACGCAGCCTGAAACCTTACCATCCTCCCTCCTCCTCAACCCAACTCAGGGCACCCGGGGTGGGGCGTCGTTGGGGCGGACCCTCCCAGGCTCAAGATAAGGGCAGCGCGCCACTGCCCCCCGGTTCCTCGAAGGCCAGGTGTCCCGCCTCGCAATGGTGGCGAGGGAGCAGTGGCCGCGGGGAACCGCCGCCTGCTCCTCCCCCGCCTCTCCCCTCCCTGCCCGCACTGGCGGGCGCCGCGCTTGCGAGTGCTCCTCCTCCTCCTCCTCCTCCTCCTCCTCCTCCTCCTCCTCCTCCTCCTCCTGCTCCTCCTCCTCCTGCTTCTCCTCCCCCCCAAGAAGCTCAAACTTCGCGGTCCTTGGTGGTGCCGATTTCCGGGCTGGTGCCCCCCCCTTCACGTGCCGCCCCTCGCCCGCGGCAGGCGTGGGGCACGCGCTGCCCGCCGCAAGAGGAGGGGTAGAGGTGATGAGCAGCCGGGAGTCGGAGGCAAGTAGCATGAGGACTGGGGCAAGAGGAAGGAGGAGGAGGAGGAGGAGGAGGAGGAGGAGGAGGAGGAGGAGAGGAGGAGGAGGAGGAAAAGGAGGAGGAGGAGGAGGAGGAGGAGGAGGAGGAGGGGAGGAGGAGGAGGAGGAGGAGGAGGAGGAGGAGGGTGAGGAGGAGGGTGAGGAGGAGGAGGAGGAGGAGGAGGAGGAGGAGGAGGAGGAGGAGAGGAGGAGGAGGATGATGATGATGAGGTGCAGGAGGAGCAGGTGCAGGAGGAGGAGGAGGAGGAGGAGGAGGAGGAGGAGGAGGAGGAGGAGGAGGAAGACGAGAGGAGGAAGAGGAGGAGGAGGAGGAGGAGGAGGAGGAGGAGGAGGAGGAGGAGGGGAAGGAGGAGAAGAGGATGAGGAGGAGGAGGAGGAGGAGGAGGAGGAGGAGGAGGAGGAGGAGGAGGAGGAGGAGGAGGAGGAGGAGGAGGAGGCGGAGGAGGAGGAGGGGAGGAGCAGGAGGAGCAGGTGCAGGAGGAGGAGGAGGAGGAGGAGGAGGAGGAGGAGGAGGAGAGGAGGAGGAGGAGGAGGAGGAGGAGGAGGAGGAGGAGGAGGAGGAGGAGGAGGAGGAGGAGTAGGAGGAGGACGAGGAGGAAGAGGATGAGGAGGAGGAGAAGGAGGAGAAGGAGAAGGAGGAGGGGGAGGAGGAGGAGGAGGAAGAGGAGAAGGAGGAGGCGGAGAAGGAGGAGGAGGAGGACGAGGAGGAGGAGGAGGAGGAGCAGGAGGAGGAGGCGGAGGAGGAGGAGGATGAAGAAGAAGGAGACGGATCGATGTGGTTAGGGCAGTCCGGATCCTGACGCGGCTTGGTTAGGACCGCCCAGATCCCAGGCGAAGCCGTGCCGATGCCACTGCCCTTTCGTCCTCGCCACGGCAGGGTTCGCCCCGAACTCCGCCGACCCCTTGGGATCTGCTCGGCGTGCGAAGCTCTTGCCCTGCCCAAGCACCTCCCTGGGGAGCCCAGTCCGGCCGGTCTGGAGGGGGCCTGAGATCCGACATTGTAAAAGCATGCAGCATCGCAAACATTCAAGATCCGAGCTCCGGACTGCGTAATTTTTCGAGCTGGAGCGAGGCCTCGGTCCTCCCATGCCCCCCTGGGCCCCAGCGCCCAGGCCTCGTGCACGGGGATCTATTTCTACATCTACCTATACGACCACCCTGCGGGTGACAAGGAGGTTGTGGGGGGGTGGGGGGATGGGGGTAACCGGCGGGCAACCGACGGGACAACGTGGGCTACCGCTTGACAAGGCCGGGGGGGGGGAAACATTTGTGTTGGCGGACCCCTAGCGACAGCAGAGTGAATTCCCTCGCTGGCCCACGCAGCTTCGCCTCGCCCGCACGCACGGCACGAGCACGAACTCGAAACTCGATTTCCCGGTGGGGGGACTCCGTTACACTGCGATCTCACCCCCCAACCTCCGATATGTGCCCGTGTGGATTGCCTCTGCCGCGCCACGACGAAAGAAGTGTTTTTTCATGGCCCGAGAGGGGGTCGGGGAAGGTGTCCCTGGTTCTAAGGTTAGAGGCCTCTCAAAAGGGGTTCGAGTAGATGGGTTCGGAGGAACGCGCCGCATCGCCGATGCATCGTCGATGTATCGGCGATGCATCGGCGATGCATCGGCGACGTCGGCGGTGCATCGGCGACGCCGGCGTGGAGAAAATCGGGCTCTGCATCGAGCCGCATCGCCGATACATCAGCGATGCGGCGCGATCCTCCGACCGCGCATGCTTGAATGATGTACACAGCAACTTCGTGGCAGTGCGCATATGGACATGTCCTTCCTTCATTGCTCATCTTTCCTCCTTCTAGTCTTCTCTTCCCTGCCTCTACCTCTTCTTCCTCCTACAGTGTCCCTCAGCCCTTTTGCTGCCCTACCTCTGGCTCCTCACCTCCTATACCCCATCCAGGCAGCCCAGAGAGGTGCCTCCAGCTTGTCGGGCCCTTCTGGAGCCCCCCCGGGGCCCTCTGGGCCTCGGCATGGGGCGCGCTGCAGGCCGCGGGGGCCTCCCCAGACCCCCCCCCGCCCCGTGCCGCAGCAACAGTCACGACGGGAGGCCTTCCAGGGGGCCCTTGGCGCGCCTCGGGGCCGTCAGCAAGACGACCCAGGATGAGAAGGAGGCGGCCCTGGAGAGGGGGGTGCAGACCTCTGGGGGTCGACTCGACGTGGTGAACAGAAGCCACGACGCCGGGGGCCTGGGTCCCTGGAACTCCGGGGGCACACCCCGGGCCAGGAGAGATCACGCTGGATCTGATCTGGGAGGCTGTCGCTACACACACACACTCACACACGCACACACGGGGTCCAAGCCTCTTCCCGTCCCATCCCGCTCGTCCCGCTCTGGGTGGCGAGGGCGGAAGGAGAGCGGGGCAAGGGGGTTGCAGCGACGGTCCCCAAATATTGCATGTTGCAGAGGAGGCGGACCGTTTTTTTTTGGTTGCGCGTGTTTTTTGTTTGCTGTTGTTACTGTTGCTTGTTGTTTTTGTGTGTTGTTTTCTTGTGTTGTTTCAGCCAACGCAGTCGCGCATAAGATATATTTACCCTGCAGAGGAGGCAGACCGCTGAGAGGCAAGATCGGACGTCAATGGGACGGACGGGGGGGGGGCGTAGAAGAAATAAAGGACACGGGCGACCATGAATGCGGGCGCTGAGGGCTGCATCTTACCGCAGCGTCTTCGGGCTTCAATGTCGACCAAATCC